AAAAAGTTGAAGTACTGGGTCATAAATAAGTTTTGAAATGTAGGTGTTTTTTTCGCCCCCATTGGCACAATTTAGATCAACTGAGTATTAACGAAATGTATGGATTGAAGGAATATTATTATAAGCAAGCGGAGGATACATCTTTCTCGAAAATCTCAACGGTGCTCTTCAGCTACTGCTGCTGTTGTTAACATTGTTGTTGTCGTTGCTGCTGTTGTCGTTATCATTATTATTGTTGTTATTGTTGTTATTGTTGTTGTTGTTGTTGTTGCTGCTTTTTTGTTGCTGAGACTGTTGTTGCTGCTGTTGTTGTTGTTGATATTGTTTTCTGAGACTGCTGCTGTTGTTGTTGTTGTTGTTGTTGTTCGCTGTTGTTACTTTTGTTGTTGTTTATTCTATTATCTTTAATCCATGTTTGTTGCGCAGCCTGATATTGAAATTGGACTTTGTGTCGCTGTAGAAATTGAATTTGATTAACCACGTGGGATCTGAAAGTTTGAATGTGATTGGGGTACGCGAACTAATTACCTCGTTCTTTGTGAAATACACCCCCCAACCAAGCCCTGTGTTCTGTTGAGGGACCACAAGCCCCCTTCCCCCTTCGGAATGATCTATACTGCATCGCGTTAGCAGATAAACTTCAACAACACCTCAATTACCTCTAGCAACAAACAGGACAATGGAAACAACGACAATCATAAGGATAACAACAAGAAAATAACAGCAGGAAACGAAACAACAATTAAGCGTCGACAATGACAACAACAACGATAGCAACAGTAACAGCAGAAGCAGCAGCAGCAGCAACAACAACAACAACAACAACAATAAGAATAACGATAACAACAACAACAACAACAACAACAACAACAACAACATAAAAAACAGCACTAGCAGCAATATATATCTGAAATCAACGATGGCGCTTCTTTAAAACTCCGCTCTAAATACTGAAACCATCTCAAATCAGACCCACGAGATCAGACAGGCCGTCGATCCCTGAATGTTGATGATAAAAAAAAACCCAAACACCCCAGGAATATCCTGCGTTCAAGATGATGCATCCGATAACATTCCAATGGTGGACCGGGTTGACATTCCATGGCGTACCATTACAACCTAGCAAACGACGCAAACACATGCACAAAGCACACGAAGAGAACGTCGCTACATTTGGCAAATCTTGTCTCTCTAATTTCTTACAGATAAATAAACACAGCACCTATCTTGGGTAGATATCGCAACGTCAAGCTCTTGGCGAAATACAAGTCTTTCGGTTACTGGAGGGCATACACAACCTACAATGTGTGCGACAAGGTGAATGTAGAAAACTTTTCAAGGAATGAAATAGCTCGCCAGGTTAAACGGAAACCTTGTTGAGGGTAACTTTGTGGATAGGATTAGATTAGCTTATAGCAGACAAGTCCCCAAGATTAGAGGTGTTACAAGAGAATAACACGCACGGAGACGGAAGAGAGACAATGGGGATAGATTGTTTGATATAATAGAAGCAAACCACACCAGACCACCCGCCAACCATCCACGTAAATTTTGAGAACATTTCAAGGATTGAAATATTGCTCGCCAAGTTCACATGCTATCTTGCTGACGGTCACTTTCTGGGTAGGTAGTAGGTAGAGTGCAAACGTGAAGGGCGGAGATGTGTATAATAGTATCATTTTAGCAGAACTACAGAGATTAAAATAAACTTCAGCAGACAGGAATGGAAACCACGTCTTATAATTACTCTGGCAAAGAGCGTGGCCATAACTTCACAGACGCCGGTCAAAGTTAGGTACAAGATCTGAAATTAAGGGTACACCTAAAGAAAATGGGAAGGAACAAGCCATCATCGTACAGGTTAATACCATATCATCCAGCTTAAATTACCCATGGAATAACATCAAGAGGCTAGCCCAGGATAGAGAAAGGTGGAGGAATGTGTTCGTCCGTGGCCTATACCCTGGTGCAGGGTGAGAAAGGCAATGACGATGATGATTCAGCTTAAATTGGAAGAAAAAAAATTACGATCAGCGTCTCATACAAGAATTAGCAATGAATTATATTACACCCAAAATAATTTGACTCCTTAAAATCTCCCAAACAACTAAGATTTAGCTCTCTTCAAACTCCTCGTGTTTTGTACAGTTATTGCGTGATCGATACATATCCCGAAATTACACTGTCAGGGCTATTTCTGCGACTTTATTGCCGGTCTTCCCCACACGAGGAAAGTATCATGTTTTTCCCTCAGCCCTATTCCTAGCTCGTTCATGACAGTCATGTCAGAAATAGCCAGACGCCTCGGTTTACAACAAGACTGATAAATGATGTAAAGTGATCCACCATACCAGTTATGCCCCCTCCCCCC